GGACGCAGTGGTAGCCAATCAGGTTGGTGTGCATGTGTATTTATGTTTTGACTTTTTGAAGTTGACTGTGGATATGCATTTCAGGTTTTTGCAGCATAATTATGTGATATTGTGTTAATTGTTATCTGACACTGGATATTGTATTCAATTTTGGCTATTGTGATATAGCTCAAATGTATTGATTGTGAAGGATTCAGCCTCAGTTATCTGATATAGTTTTCTTAAGTTATTGCACTACAGATTCCCAACTTGTTATGACAGTATATAAAGCACAATAACTCTCATCTTGCAGACATCTAGAGAGTTGTCATGTAAATGTACTATTATTATGGTTGGGGACCTGTGTATTAGACTGTTCTAGCTGAGTCAAATAATTAGCCATCTTCTTGGATATCACAGCCACACACTGAAGAGCTACTGTAGCACAATTTCCTGGAAAACTTAATGCTGGTTCTGACAGACGGGTGTCAGAACACACAGTGCTTCTCAGCTTACTGCGTATGGGGCTGCGTACCCGCAGACCGGCCAGAGTGCCCCTACTGACCCCCGTTCACTGCTGAAAGCACCTATAATGAGCATCAGAACTCACCTGTGGAGTAATGGAAGCAGGTCTGGTCTGATGAATCACATTTTCTTTCACATCATGTGGATGTTTAACTGTGGAAGAGATGGCACTAGGAAGCAGTATTGGAAGAAGACAAGCTGATGGAGGCAGTGCAATGCTCTGGGCAATGTTCTGCTGGGAAACCTTGGGTCCTGGCATTCATGTGCAGCATGTGTTACTTTGACACCTACTTAAACATTGTTGCAGACCAAGTACACCTTGGTGGCAGCAGTATTCCCTGATGGCAGTGGCCTCTGTCAGTAGGATAATGCACCCTGCCTTAAGAATGGTTTGAGGAACATGAGAATGGTTTGAAAATGACAGAGTTCAAGGTGCTGCTTCATCCTCCAAATTCCCCAGATTGGGTGGTTTTAATGTTGTTGCTATTTTTTCCATGCTGAAGATCACTTAATTGTTACAGATTACGTTGTATTCAGTTCAGTGCCTGTAATATGAAACTGTGTAACATTACGTAACGTTATCCTCTCAGTACTATTCTGTGTAGGCAGTGAGCTGTTTGTACACTGCTTGCTGTTCTTATTGACAAGATAATCCTACTCTACTGAACATAGAACACCTACATACAATCACTAGTCCTGCACAGAGTGAGTAAGTCATGTTGCTTACCAACCCACATCCCAGTGAAACATACAGGAAGGAATAAAATAAGGTTAGATAAGATTTAACATTGTATAAGATTAGTTTTTCGTTCTTTAGCTGTCCACAGATGTTCACTTTTAAATACAGTTTACATGAATCAATGTTAAACAGGTAGTCAGAGGTCCAGTATGGAGTAGAAATCTGAGGTAGTTCATCTGGTCTGGAAGGTGTTGTCCTTTAAATTCTCTTAAAGCTTCACTGAAAACACTGCACAAACAATCAGTGCTAACAATATTTGATTAAAGTTTCCTCTTAGGTTGCTTAATGATGCTTTGAAACAAGGTGTGTTCATTCAGAAACTTGATATGAAGCTGCAGTGAATGTGTTTTGTTTACATAATGGCTTAAATCATTTATGATGATGGAAAAGTTATACCTGCATTACATTTCAAAAATGCAAAGACAGCATGGAAACGGAAAGCTGGGCACTACTGGGCTGTAGCTCTACCAGTTCATCTGGCTCTGAATTTCTCAGCAGCCTTCATCTTAGAGCAATATTTTATTAACAGTGTTGTGTGGTCGCATACAGTACAGAACATAGTGCATAAATGGTACAGATGGGCCATAAGTGCACAGCTTTTTTGCTCACAGCCAGCTGTACACTGAGGAATATTATAGAAAGAAGTAGCAAATAATTCTGGCTGGCAATCGGGCGAAGGCGGGGTACACCCTGGACAGGTCACCAATCCATCGCAGGGCTAACACATAGATGAACAACCACACACGCACTCCTATGGGCAATTTAGAGACACCAGTCAACCTAAGTTGCATGTCTTTGGACTGTGGGAGGAAGCCAGAGTACCCAGAGAGAACCCACGCAAGCAGAGGGAGAACATGCAGACTCCACACAGAAAGGTCCTGGGTGGGGCCCGAACCCGGAACCTTCTCGCTGTGAGGCAACAGGGCTAACCACTGCGCCACCGTGCTGCCCGTTCTCTAAACTTGATCTAAGTAAAAGTGGAAAATTCTTCTGTTGATATTTGTAGGCTGACCTTCTTTCATAAGAACTGACTGGTTTTTTCATGTTTGTTCACCACACAGTACAAGCAAAACCCAGAGATGTTCAAACAGACAGCGAGGCTCTGGTCTCATGTCTATGCAGGCGCTCCCGTCTCCAGTCCGGAGTACACACGCAAAATAGACAAACTCTGTGCCATGGGCTTTGAAAAAGTAGGCATCTTTAAAGGTTTTTGCTCCCCTGCATTACACTGCTGAATGCTGCTGCAGAATAACACCATGTTTGACTCGTGTTTTGTTTTCTCCTCAGAATGCAGTAATAGTGGCGTTGTCGTCGAAATCCTGGGACGTGGCGACAGCAACAGAGCTGCTGCTCAGTAACTGAATCTTGACACCCTATTCATCCTCATTTTGATCCATCTCTCCCCTCCTCACACATTCACACCCTCTCTTCTCCCCACCCCCTAATTTCCTCTGTGCGGCAACTCCCGCTCTGTTCATCACCTCTGTTGTAGCACACTCCAGTTGGTTGCTCTGTGAGCTTTTATCTTAGTTTCTTTAAGTTCATTCAGGATTCCACTCAGTGCTACAATCAAACGTTCAACCACATCTCAGCCCCTTTGAAGCAAATACCAGACTTAAGATCCTACCCGTGTCCGTCAGTCTCCCAGCTTTTCAAGAAGTAGCTGTTGGCGGCTTATTCTTGCCTATGCAGTGCATTTATTTTCATTTGTGAAAACCACTGTAGGACAGTGTCAGACCATTCAAGGAGACTCTTTTGGACCTGGTCCTGCTTTTTACACACTATGGACTGGTTTTCTAGACAGGGATTAAGCCTAGCTATGGGCCAGCCACATGTTAAAATAATTTTTGCTCAGTTTCCAACATCACTAGCTTTACTCATTGACTCTTTCTTGAACAGTAAATAGTTTAGTGGCATGGAGTACTCTAGACACAATGAGAAGTGCAGTGAAACTGTGGGACCCTTAGGAGGATCATCATATTATACATTCTCTAGAGGAGCACTAATAAGTGCGTACATTTTTCACATAAAATTAGACATTCAGATGAAATTGTGAAAAATTGAATTTAATGCAGCAAGTACCAAATACTGAGTTATTACAACAGTACAGGATAAGACTTATTGGTGGTCTGGAAACCAGTTCATAAAGTGTAACTGGGGTGTTCACACAGTAGCCATACTCATCATTTTCATGCTACAGTACATTGTCTCATGTTCAACTGTCTGACAATCCCAAAGCTGTATCAACACCCAGATTTCCATCCCCACACCTGCTCTCGACATGGCCCCTTTCCCACATTTTTTAAAAGGTTTTATTTGGTTTTGGCCTTCTACAGGAATACATTAGCATTCTTGTTTTTAAACTGAGAGAGAATAACAAAAAATGTTCAGCAGTAACAGAACCTTTCACAAGTCTGGATGGAAATAGTTCAAAAGGAAAAGATATTGCATCATGTCAACAGATAAATATGTCAAAAATGATTCATCTGTAAATAAAGATATTAAAGTCTGTGTAAATTAATCCACACTTTGTCCTTTCTGTGGTGATTTTAATGTGATCAGTCACAGTCGTAGAGGACCTGTTTGTGCATGCTGTTTTGGATCCAACATGCATTTATAAGCATACATTTGAATAAAAACTAGGGTGAAGCACTACATTTACAAGACCATAAATCGAACCTACAGGGGATTGCATAGCTAGTGAAAATAGAACGAGCAAGCCAGTTTAGATAAAAAGCATGCATGCAGAAAAACGAATACGAATATTGGAATTTGCCTCTGTACAGTGGAATTTCACTGCTGTTGCATTAGGTTCATCAGTTATTTAGTGCATTTAGAGCCTCAACAGGCAAGTGATTCATGCATTTATTATAATGTTCAGATCACTGTGCTTACATTGAAGGGAACTGATGATGAGCACAAAAACAGATGGCCTGCTTGGTAGCATGTTGTGCCATGGTGAACCTTTAAAAAAAAAAAACCCAGTCATTTGAATATCATATTTCAGCCTGTGTGTTCCCAAGACAGGACAGAAGCTATCATTCCATGTGTTTGCTAATCAACAGCAGCATGTACTGATCCGTCAGGGCACCTCAGAGACAGTATTAACGGTACAACACTGTACTGTACCTGCTGCACATTAAAGTAGCCTCAGGTCTCCCAGGCATCATTTTGTACCCCTTGGTTGTTGCCGGTGTATCTCTCTTGTATTTCTACAATCTGTAGCAGAGGGCTCTACTTAATAAGGCTGAATACACGAGGATGCTTACCATCTCATACTGTATAATGGCACAGAGATATTCACTGTGCTATTAAAATGCACACTAAATATATTAACTCGTTGCATTATTAAAGTATTGAAGCTTCCACTGGACCGACTTCAAAACAGCATACCTTCTCGCTAATGCATATCATAATGTTTACTCTTTATTTTCCAGATAAAGAGTTGCCTTTTTATTGTGGCATAAAGGTAAAATTTCTGATTGTGTGGTTCTGTAAGTCAAACATTTTTGTAGCTTTGTTATAAGACAGAATGTAAACCTGTCATTTGACTATAGCATCCTCGGCACAGTTCTTTCGATTTAGTTTGTTTCACTGATTCTTTTCATGTGAGATTGAGCTTTGCTGGCATGCACTGATAACCCCTGTATTTCTGAGTGAAGTCCACATGCTGTAACACCAAGGCCAAAAAACATTACTGAGGAAAATGCATTGGAAATTGCAGGCAGAATGACTTTGTTGTTAAGTGACAGGTCCTATAAATTCTCATGGAGCCATTAAATATTATGTTTTTATTGTTGGTAACATTTAACAAAGGTCAACTCATACCAGCTCATCCTGAAATAAATAATCATTTAACCATCTGCAGTCTATAAATTGACAAAAATTAATATGCCTGCCCTCTAAAATGTTTTAAATGATTTTCTGAGACTAGTGTGCTCTGAAATCCCCAAGATATACAGCATGTAGGCACATTATTACTGTAGATTTTTAAATTAAAATTAATGTGCCTCTACTATTCATTCCTGGTGTTTTTCTGTGCCTGGGCCTGAGTGATCTTTACTTTGGCGCATAAAAATCTACATTCAAATTAGTACAAATTTTCAACTGTTTATATTATACTAAATATATGCAACTTTTTTTGTGACTTCAGTTTTTGCCTTTCAGATAACACTTTTCTCCTCCATGCATTTGTTGGTAGTGGTAGGATGTTACAGAAGCAGACCAGCAGCCCACTATGCGTTTGATTGACAGCTGAGTAGCTTAGTGTGTGGACAGACTGATCCGTGGGCATCCTATGTCTCTCCGTCAACTGCTGCTACGTGATAGCCGGAGTTGTATTCCCTGTCTCAGTCGGCAGACTTGCTGCCTTCTCTGCCAAGCAGGAAGAGCTGATCTGACCATGATGAAGACCAGATGAAATGGTGCCCTCCTATCTGCAGCTGAGTTTAATTGGGGTTGAATGGGCATAATGTAGGCCTGTTAGGGAATAAACCCAAAGGACCACTCTTTTGCTCTTCTGAGTTACCTTTTATTTCTTCTTAGAGGTTTTCAGAAATGCTCAAGATAATCCTACTTATTTGTCTGGTGATGCGTTTTCCTGAAGGTGAGTCAGAATTGAGGTCTTGCTTGCAGAAAAATGAAAGTCTCTGTACTGTGGTTAGTTGAAAAGACTGATGGTTTTAAAAAAAAACTTAAGTATGCCAAATGCATTGTTGTGTGTGTAAATATGCACAAACAGCTGTGGCTTTCATGTAAAATAGTTATGTAAATGTTGAGATTTGCTTGTAGCCTTCAAACAATTTAACTAGATAATCTAAAGAAGCAACTCTTATGAAAATGAAGATGTCTGCTAATATATTGAAGTAAACTTAAAGTTTAAAATCCATTAATGGGATTTCTCTTAATGTGATTAATATTTCGACAATAGTTTCCAGTCATCATACAGAATTTATGGCCTCAAAGGTATAGCATTCAGGAAATATCAGTAATAATAATTGTAGCCACACCAAAGGAAAACATGGGTTGTTTTCTGATGACCATGTCTTTCTCTCTCCAGTGGCTCACTCAGCTGAGGGTCGCTATGCCCAGAAGCTTCTGAATGATTTGATGGAGAATTATTCCAATGCCCTGCGGCCTGTGGAGGACACAGACAGTGCCCTCAATGTCACCTTACAGATTACCCTCTCTCAGATCAAAGATATGGTTGGTACTAGCTCTTCTGCAGTATCCTAAAATGTAAATTCTGAAGTGCCTAGTTTGCCTACTTTAATATGGTAAGATTTTATTCATCACAATAATCCAAAACCATGTTTCGGGCGACTGTGGTTCAGTGGGTAGGGCAGTCGTTTCCCAACCAGAAACCAGAAAGGTTCAAATCTCGGTGTCTGCAGTCCACATGTCAGAGTATCCTTGGGCAAGACACTGAATCCTGAAGTTGCCCCCAATGGTTAGAGCCGCAAATGGCTGCCTCGGTTCTGTACCGGAAACAAATTCCTTGTATGTGTAACATACCAAATAAAGGTGATTATTATTAAACCAGACAAGACTGTCCACAGCTAATATATCATCTATGATGCCTAATACAGTATATGATAATGTCTTGTAGTATTAGTGAAGAGCTCATTATACATTAAAGCACCACACAAACTCAATAATCCCTATAAACTTTCTACGCTGATCCTATACTCAAACTGAACTCCCCGTACTTACTATTAAACTACCTAGATATAAGTCCTAATAAACTTAATTTGGCAAAGATCAAATATAGAAAACTTTAAATTATAAGTGACATCAGATACACTGAACCTAGAATCAAAACACAAAAATGCAGAATGTGTATTGAACCTATAGTTTACTTTGTTGCACAGACAGTGGTCACCAGCGGATGAGTTTGTAGGTGCTGATGTGTATAAATGACAGGCAGACCTCCTACTGTATAAACCGGGCTTACTGTTACTCAGCTGGCTCAGGTTCCCGTTCAGGTTCAGTGCCTTGTCAACCCAAAATGAATTAGCACGCATGTTATGCATGAGTTGTGTAGGTGCCCTACAGAATGTAATGCCTTTACCTATCCGTTGATGCCTATTACGCAAAGCAGCAATGTTTTATTTCATTTGGTAATTTAGTGAAGCTCAGGCAGTGATAATAAACCCCCTCCCTACATCAACCAACCTCATCTGCCAGTAACCCTGCACCCGATACTGACAGACGACTTTGGATTTCAGCTACTGACAAAATTTGAAGTATATCTGTCCATATAATACTCAGAAGAGTTAATGAGCAACAGAGAAATGAATGGGAGCTCAAGCAGATCTTCTTTAAACTGCTGTTAGTTTCCATCCAATATGTCTATGTGATTGTGACCTTGTGTGTGTATGAAGGATGAGAGGAACCAGGTGCTGATAGCCTACCTGTGGATCAGGCAGACATGGCATGATGCTTATCTCAAGTGGAATAAAGACGACTATGATGGACTGGATGTGATCCACATCCCCAGCAACCTGGTGTGGAGACCTGACCTCGTCCTCTATAACAAGTATGTCCATATGTCACACACACAATCGTTTTCTGATCTTTCGGTCAATGTGAGATTGTGTTTTGACCAAACCATCATATTGGCATCAATGGACATTGTGTTTTAATTCTTGTCAAACCCAGGGGCACCGCTAGCAGTTTTGGGCCCTATGAAAAAATTTGAAGTTGGGCCCTCTACTTCACCCATCTGTGGGCCCCGAAAGTTCGTGGGCCCTTAGAATCGTGCTTTTGGTAGTTTAGTACATCGTACATGTTGAATATTATGTCATAAAACATGAAAGAAATCTAAATTAAAGTGGTCAGACATTGATATACAGGGAGTTACTTGGATGCATGCACAGTCTACTTTCTCCCCTCCTGCAGAGCTGATGACGACTTCTCAGGGCCGATGGACACCAACGTGAGACTGCGCTACAATGGAGAGATTACCTGGGATGCTCCTGCCATCACCAAGAGCTCCTGTGTGGTGGACGTCTCTTACTTTCCCTTTGACAGTCAGAAATGTAACCTCACCTTTGGTTCCTGGACCTACAATGGCAATCAGGTATGGAGAAACACATACACAAGTGCAACTAAACACGTATAACAAAGGGATGTTGCAGAGGATAAATACATCTCAGTTCAATTTAGTCATTCTGCCAGGACAAAGGGTGCAAGACTCACTAAGGTCCGGGTTGTAGACCTCAGTGTTAGATCATAGGGTAACTGAGACTGGCCAACATCAAGTGATCAAGTGATCAGACAGACATACAGTTATTGCCTTGATAACTAATTTATAGAATCCTTCTTTCTGCTTGCTTAATTTGTCTTTTGGAAAGGGTCAGTGGGTTGCCCTGGTTGTGTGCCTCCCCTACACCTACTCATCTATTAACTTAATTCCAGGTGGATATCATTATGGGCATGGACAGCGGCGACCTGTCAGATTTTGTGGAAAATGTGGAATGGGAGTGCAGCGAGATGCCGGCCACCAAGAACGTTATCACGTACGGCTGCTGCTCTGACCCATATCCAGACATCACCTATACAGTGGTCCTACAGCGTCGCTCCTCTTTCTACATCTTCAACCTCCTCCTGCCCTGCTTCCTTATCTCCTTCTTGGCCCCTCTGGGGTTTTACCTGCCTGCAGACTCTGGGGAGAAAGTTTCCCTTGGAGTGACGATTCTTCTGGCTCTCACTGTGTTCCAGCTAATGGTGGCTGAAAGCATGCCTCCATCAGAGAGTGTGCCGCTTATAGGTAAGAACTGTAAAAGCCAATATGTGAGAATTTTTTCTGTGATTGTAGCCTATTTAGGATTATTATAGTGGCTTGCAATCCTGTCGGTCTTAATATATTTTGGCTGCAGTTCCAGCTTAACTGTAAGAATGACAATGTTGATCATTCAGTCAGTTGATACTTTTGTTTGAACTGAACTCTCTCAATATCTATTGGATGGACTGCCATGAAATTTTGTACAGACAGAGGATGTACTGTAATCACCTAATGCTCAGATTTTTAATTTGTCTAAATCTTGTGTCCAAATACTAACGGCATTCCCTTTGTGTTCGGTTTTAATTAGTAAAATTTTAAGACACCAACATGCTAAGATGGTAAACAAAGGACTGTAAACACTTGAACTGCTACACATTAGCTTGTGACATTACTGTAGCATCCTGATTTTAACATTTAGCTTAAAGCACAGCTGAGTAAAGTACAGCACACAGACTTTACTATAAAGACTTTACTATACTGTAACGTCTGTGATAAAGTCAGTATATAGCTATACTGTCTGTGATACAGCCTCATAAAGCTGCTAGCATAACTTTATATTTGAGTGAAATGTCTCATTACATAATTACTCTTGTTGTAGTTGTTTAGTAAAGTTCCGCAGACAACAAAAGTTGACATACTATATCAACTTTTATTTAAAAATTAGTTCTAACAGCAACTTATCTCCTGTCTGTTTTATTCCTCTATTACAAAGGGAAATACTACATTGCCACTATGACCATGGTCACAGCCTCCACAGCTCTCACCATCTTCATCATGAACATCCACTTCTGTGGTGCAGAAGCCAAACCAGTCCCCCACTGGGCAAAAGTCCTCATCATTGACTACATGTCCAAGATTTTCTTTGTTTATGAGGTGGGTGAGAACTGTGCCTCCTCCTCTGCCTCTTCTTCATCTTTTCAGCCCCCACAGGATGACATCTGTCACCAGCACCTGAACTCCCACATTCAGGTGAATGGAAAACCGGGGAGTCACAGTAGCCAAGACAACCGGCAAATATATAAATACCCCAGGCCCCAGACCCCGAAACCACAGCACCATCCCAGAGAGAAAGCCCAGCACCACATCACTAGAGAAGACAGGAACCACCTATCCAGCTTCTCACCTGGAAAGAACGAAGGCTCTAATGGTAAAATCGCTACAGATGACTGCTGTAAAGAAGACCAGAAGATCCCCTGTTATCCTGAAGACCAAAAGCTTCCTTGCTGCCCTGAAGACAGGAAGCTTTCATCACAAGGCAGCACTGCAACCTTTGGCCCCTGTGTGTTCTGTAGCCATGGCAGTGGCATCACTGGTGTAGACAGTAAGCTGGCACGAAATGTTGAGTATATTGCCAACTGTTTCAGAGAGCAGAGGGCCACATGCGCCAAGGGGGCAGAATGGAAGAAGATCGCTAAGGTGATGGATAGGATCTTCATGTGGATCTTCTTTATTATGGTTTTCCTTATGAGCATCCTCATTATTGGCAAGGCACCATGACTGAGCAGTGACGCAGAAGATTTTTTTGATATTTAATTCAGTTAACTGTATGGTCATAAATAATTGACTTTTTATTATAAATATGATAAACATTGGCCTTTTCTTTATTAATAGTTATTACTTTATTACTAAAAGTCATTTAAAAATAAAACTTACTTTGCATTCACTGTTTTGGCTATGTACTGTGCATATAACACATTAACAAAATGTTAAAATCCTTGTTTTCTTATACAAAAAATAATTTATTGTCTCATACACTACATTGCATCAATACATTCTTTGATCTTCATCTACAACAAGAGAAATGGGATGAACAACAATAATATGTGCAGCCATTGTTATGCACTGTACCTACAGTACAATCTAAAGGAATACAGTACATTCAGACATTAACAAATTGTTAAATTTCAGACAAATTATTTGTCTGAAATCACCTTTTTCAGTTTTTAACCATACAAACTGCTACTATCCCATCCGTTATGGCTTTGATGTAACAATACTTCATCATCTGACCACTGAATACACTTAGTGGGAATCTGTTGTCAAATTAAATTATGACCAGTGGAGAAAGAACATCACTGCAGTGAAATCAGATGCCTGGGGCTGACAGACAAAGCACCGGTGCATACGCCGGTGCATACTCCGGATCCAGAGAATCATTTTTCTGTTCAAAATCATCCAGTCAATAGTTAATGAGCAGGCTTTGTTTGTAGTATAGCCAGGGCATTGAGGATGTAAGCTAATAAGGATCATCAATTATTTAATATAACATACATTCTGACACCCCCTCTTCAAAAAAGTCCATAGTTGGCAAGTTGAGTTAATGTGGGAGTAATAGGAAGGACTAAAGACCAATAAGGAAGGAAAATCTAAACTTGTTGATACTAGATGTAGAAATATTTGCATTTATGTGCAAGCTTATTCCATAAAAGTTCACATTTTTCATTTAATTAATTATTTTTAATTTATTAAATTAATGTAATTCAATTCATTTAAATTATATGATTTTTTTTCCATACATTTATTTTTAAATACATTGGGAGATTTTAAAAATGGTGCTGGCAATATTATATATATTTGTAATCGTAATTTTGTAGTTAATCTGTCTTTAGTCAGTCATTTATACTGGAATACTTAAAAATTTGTCATATATACCTTCATTTTTATATAAAATAAAGTAGGGATGGAGTACAATAAACAAAGAGTGTGAGTGATACTACATAAAATAGAATTTTTACACAAATGCCTCCCAGATTTTTACGACAATACCTTAATCTTACAGTAGAAGGCGCTCACTTCCCACATACCTTCTGGTGATGGATGCCCCAAAGCTTACCGTTTGAAACTGCATGTAGCAGCACAAGTGCACAAGATTTCCATTTTCCTGTTCCCACATTCTTTTCATCATCTACACTCACACAATTTCACACTACTGAGGTTTGTAGGATATTTATTAGTTACTGTATGGTAAGAGGCTGTACATCTCACTAGGTGTAAGTCTATAATTAAATCTGGAGGCTATTAATGAAAGTGAGTTAGTATAAAGTGCTGGGGCAGCAGGGCGCATGCCTGTTGATTGTTCTGTTGAGTCTCCTGTGAGGGCTAAGAAATCAAATGGTCAGAGGAGTCATCGTTTTTTTTATCTTCCTCTCTAAAGTGATTGTCATGCTGAAGCATGATGCACCCGATATAAGTGAGAATATCTTACATTTTCTATCTGAGCAATTGCAGTGAGTTCCATTAGTGCTCAGTGAGCAGCAGGAGCCATGGCAGCCTGTTATCACCATGGGAGACCAGGAGAAGTGCGAACCATGTAATCTGGACAGACGTAGCAGCTCAGACACAGAGGAAAAGTCTACTGGGGAAATTACCAAGTGCTTTACAAATGTTCACTTGGAGAAGTATTGTCTATCTCCACTTGGATTTATGTAAAGAAGGGAAAAATCACTGTGATGACAATGAATTCATCAGTGACTAACCAGTGATGAAAAGTACCTCTACTGAGTTACCATTCATAAGCACAATTTTGAGGCACTTTGAGGCATAATTATACATGTACCACATCATTTTTATTTGATAGCTGTAATTCCTAGTTTCTTTGCAGATGAAAAATTTGCATAATGTACAAAACATGTGGCCATCCTAAACTGCCCGGCAGTATAGGCAATAAAAATTAGCTCTACTTCAAGCATCTACAACATAAACATGCTGCTACATGTTAATTAGTAATAATAATGGAAAATATATGTGATATAGGCCTAATAATTTAAGAAACCCAATTTTGCATAATGAATACCATTACTTTCAGACTGTAAGAGTTTTTTTTTAAACTGAACACTTGCAGAATGACAACAACTCTCATAGGAGATGTAAGTATTTTGTTTGTGATAGGCCTACTCTGACCTTTACTTGTACTTGAACTATCTGTGTTATTGCTACTTTTATGGACTACTTTGTCCACCAGTACCGTTGACTAACTTAATAATAAAATTGCACATTATTTTTTATTTTATTTGTTTATAAAGAAGAGATATAGACAAATTTTGACAGAAGAATGCGGGTCAGTATATGACTATAAGCAGGTTTTCAGTTTAAATACAGCGCGTGTCTGGTGTGTAAGTCTGAGTTTTACACATCCAGTAGTTTAGATGATGGAATAATAGTAGTGCAAGAAGCAAAATGTCGTAGAAATTCTTTTCTCATATTTGAGACTTATCAAGTCTCAAAAGAGTTTAAGAAGGAATCTCAACATGATGAACCATCTATTTACAGTAACTACATGCCAGCATGGAGAAGACAAGGATTGTTCTGACCAGTGTTTCTCAAACCTTTTGCTCTTACTGAAACAGAACAAGGGATCCATGCTCATAAAGACATCAACAAGAAGGCGCCGTTCATATATGCATAAAATTGTCAGAACTCTTTGTTATACCAAGTTATCTGTCAACAATAAAACTCAGGATTATAGGTTTTCTGCCAACCCTTGGCCATAAAACACCAGAACACTCTAGGGGGGTGTTAACCTTAATCATTGTTCAAAGCAACGTACTGTACAAAACATGTGGCCATCCTAAACTGCCCGGCAGTATAGGCAATAAAAATTAGCTCTACTTCAAGCATCTACAACATAAACATGCTGCTACATGTTAATTAGTAATAATAATGGAATATATATGTGATATAGGCCTGTTAACCTTAATCATTGTTCAAAGCAAACCTTCATATGAGTTTTAGATGCATTAAGTCCTACTTATTTAAAAACAGTACTCTTAGCACATGGATTCAATCATCTCTTATCCAATATGCTTCAATTCTCCCACAAGAGGAAAGTGTAGGGGCCCAAATCCCCTCCTATGCTCAGGGCTCATACCTCCAAGCTACGCCCCTGCATCTGGATAAAACTTCCTTGTGAAGCAGCATCTTCGCGCCATCCTCACCTGATTTGGCTCTATGTATTACTGCCCACCAGTGTTGTCGTTAGCTTTCGTTTGACACATTGCTCTGTAAAACTTTAATAAACCCACAATGTCCCAGACAGACAGAGAGCATCCAGGGTATGATTAATTCCTGATCCGTGAAGAACAAGGACCTTTAAAATGATCTTGCGGTTGCCATGGTAATGGAAGCACGCTAATCCAAAGTGCTACACAATGTCGACAGACATTTTAAAAGTTTGTTTTTAAGTGGAGACTCAATTCTGGATATCTAAAGACTCAAAAGCTGTTCATACATTATCGACAAGAAGACTCAAGGGCAGGACCAACGCGCTTACATCTGTGAAGACGCTCGTCGCCTCATAACGGATCCAGATTTATTGTGTGGAATTTACTCGCGGTTGAAACGTAGCATCGAGTCAAGGTTTAACAAGAGGACAAAGAGTAGTAACGTTGAGTTCTCCACCGTTAAACTCATATAGAACCTGCACCGGTAAATATGAGGAGTCCCGGATACGAATACAGTATTTTTGGGAGAGAAAAGAGGACACCGTCGTCATAAGGTAACCGGAATCCCACCAAACATGTCCAAGTTTATGCTGCGTAGCTGGTTAAATCATTGCCTTGGCTATAGTTAGTCATTCAGAAAATGTTAGCAGATCCTAGCATTACTTCAGTCGTTTTATAAACAGATTCAGAACTTAATTTAACTAACCTTTGTACTCAGCATGTATCATTTTGCTTCAGTTATTGGGTTATATAACAATATTTTAAAGTTATAATCAAATTATTTAGCAAAGATAGCATAACCCACAAAAAATATGCAGAATCAAAGTTTGAAAATTTTGCACACATTTTTAATAATATTTATGGCTGTGTTTTGGTTAATAAATAACTTATTTGAAATCAAAAAATAATTTCAGAGCATCAGTCCTGGCATCTTACTTAGTTTTGTGCATTATTTGAGTCCACAAAGTAAAGATGTGATGTGGTTTCAGATGTCACACAACAAGCCCATCTCTGAAAAGATGGTGAAAAATAAAAAGATTAGAGGACATCGCTCTTCCAAAAGCAAGACCAAAGATGCAGGCCCTCAGATTGTAAGCAGCAAAGACCGGACTCCTCTGGATGACCCAGCTGACCGTGCTGCTCCTCCAGAGTCCCAGGCCACCGACCAAGGTCAGCTGGGCTATCCAGACAGAGTCTACCTGCTGGCATCAGTCATCTTCCAGAATAACCACATGGAGAAGCCTGTTGCCCACCAGTTGGTGAATTACAGCAAAGAGAGAGGGATCCCATTACCTGAAGTCAGTCATGAGGAGATGCAGCATGCAGCTTATGAGCTGGCCTTCAATACGCTTAAATGTAAGTTTGTAAGTGACTGGTAGCCTGAGTCTGATTTGTTGAATCTCAAGTCATTATTCTCCCTTTATTCTTTGTGCCTTTTTTTGTGTACCTTGCATGTGTGTATGCATACACTTAGACCGAGTGTTATGGACACATTTGGAGTGAAGACATCAGCAACAGCTGTTTAGCAACCCCTATTTTTTCATTTCAGGTACATTAATTTGGAAGTAAACCCTCTGTTATTCCAGGCAAACAACAGCCATTTGTAATGAGAATCAAAAGCCCCGGGGAAGTTAATTGACAGGCAGAATGGGATATAGATGGAATGATGAAGGACAAGTAGAAGAGAAAAAAAGGCTTGAATGAGCAGTGGGGGGTGTTTCTGTGTGATGCTGCAAATCAATTTGGCCCATAATCTGTTATCTGGACTGGGGCGGGACCTGGGTGGCTGAAGTCACAAGGGTGTGTAATCACCATAGTGATAAGAGAGACTGTCAGCGCAGGAAGCTGGCTGGAATCGATTAAATGCGTTCTCTGTGGATGGTGAGGTCGGGTAGCAAGAACACCCTCGTAGCCATGAATGATTTTGTTCATTTTCAATAACTATCTGTTGACCATGGATAAGCCTTAGGCCTATATGTCCAACAATTAATGTAGATCACTTTAAAATATCTATCATCACAAGCCCTGGCTCCTTGTTGCTCTAACTTATATTAGTTTTACAGCTGTAGGTCATGGTGCTAACATTGCCAGGTGAAACTGACCGGATTGCTAAGGAGAATAAGAGAGTGCTTAGAGATCTCATTGCACAGACATTGTTTTCATCCATCACCCTGTTTTTCCCTTTTAGGAGAGTATGCAAGTAACCAACATCAGGAATTTGATTTTACTCTAGGCACATGAGCAAGGTAATTTGCACAAGAATATAAACCTGAACTAGAGAGAAATAATGGCCTGCTTGAGCTTCGAGCAGTTACAGTATATTACATTTATTGTTAAAATTAAATCCCCTTTTTGTTCAGAGCATATTTCAAAGACAAACATTTCCCTCTTTCATATCAGTACTAAGTTAGTACGATTCTTTTTTGTAGTTCTGGGAATTAATTCATTTGTATGCTTTCTGTAAGTGGAAAGTGTTGAGAAGCCACCATTGTGTAGTTTTCAGGATAATTATCAGATGAATTAACTTATTTCTTTAATTTGAGCATTTTTGGTATGGACCATGGTTTGCACAAATAATTGATTAAATAAATAATTGTCTTGTGTATCTTTCTTTCTTTCCATACATTAAATTCAATGTTCATATTATATTCATTGATTCCTCTTCAAACTGTAAAAAATCAGTGCTCTAAATTACCATTTAACGTACTCCACTATATGCCACTTCATAATCAGAATAAATGAACATATAAATAGATGCAAGCTCAAACCAACAACAAGGTGGAATCGAGTTTATAGTGTTATAGTAGGTGTGTTTGCACAGCAGTTTCTCCGTCCATCATTGTTACACAGATATCGCAGCTTGAGCTGATTTTCTTGAAAATTTATTCCTGTTATTGAGACATGGTGACTTGCCTCGATCAAATTCGCATTACAATCACATGTTAGAGTCTCTCACACTCACTGTGGGGTGAAATTGGCTACAGATGTAAGGACACAGCCTGGAAGCTAATGTTAATCCCTTCTCTTCCTCCTTCTACGAACAGTTTGACTTTTGGTGCAGAAACTGATTTGCTAGTGACTCGCACCCATGCTGGCAGCCACACACACACATACACACATATGTCACATTGTTCATGCACTGCCTTGCAATGATCCAAAACTACACTGAGGTCGGCTGTTAAAGAAGAAATGCTTCACCAGTGAATAACCACGCAGGACAGAACGCCAATGAGCTCAGATACTGATCTTGTGATTATAACTCTTATCTGTTCAAAACAAAAAAGTTGCTCAGTAAGCTCCGTATTGGTGGATGAGGGCACAGACTGTTGTCATGACTGTCAGTCAGCACTAAAGCATGGAGTGAAAATAGTTGATGTTGTTTACCCCAGTGTGGATTTAACATTTCATAAACAAGTCATCCAAATGACAAATATTAGCAGCCAGGTCCTTCTTGCCTTCCTTTCTCTGCCTGTCATTCTTTTACAGTTCACTCTGACTCATCTATTTCTTGTGTATCTTCTAGTCTTTCTTTGACCTTGTCTGTCTCTTTAAAAAAGCCTTTGTTACATTTGAGTGACTGTCTGCTTGATCACTGACCTAGAGGCAGTTTATGTTATCATAGTTTCATTAATTGTTGTCCTCAGTGCTTCACAAATGTGCAGATGATAAGGTATGAAAAGTCATTTTTTGTGTGAATTTTTACTGGTAGAAAACAGTTGACCTTGTGGACGAGAGCCCCCTCCTCTCTTCATCCTCCGCTCCTGCTTCCCCCGTTCTCTCCACTGGCCACTCCTTTGAGTATTTCTGCCTCATTGTCCACACTGCCCAACTGGGCTGCCAGATGCCCTTGTCAGTTGACTGTGGCAGCTGTAATCTATGTGTGCTTTGTGTTGGGCTGGATTTAAAGCATGAGAGAGAGGGAAAGACGTTTTTGTCCTCAACCACAATCAAAGCCGGTATGCTTCAGCAAATATTAAATTGTGCAGGTGCATAATGTGTAAGATTGATTTGGCATTTAGTCCAGAGGTGGCTGTGCAACCTAAGGCACGTACCCTTTTTTGGCTGGTTTGCTGTTAGATTAATGTGCAGTCAGGTGTGCTGATGTGGAACGCTGTGAGACAAAGACCTGGCTGAAGAGAAGAGGAGCCTGCATTCAGGCCTGGCTCTTTCACTGATGATTTGTTTGACTACAGTTACCATCAGTCACTGCTCGTTGTGTAATACCTGGATGGAAGCCACAGAACACACAGTCCCAACAGGAGTCCTGTGATGACTAGTGCCTCCTGCTGGTGTAGGACAAACTTGTCATCGGACTGATTCCAAGCTGTTTTTTTTGCATATTAACTTCCTGCTCTGATTTGAGAAATAGCAAAACCCAGCACAGTGTCTGCTGTGTCATTTTCTCTGTGTCTTATCCAGCCTGTTGTGTGTGGTTTATAGTATGTGGAATACTACGTCCTCTACAGACTCAGCCATCATGGCCTTCTCTGGGCTTTGTGCTGCACTTTGTGTAGTGAGCGGTTATCTCCTCAGGGCTTATCTTTAAGGCCCTCTGCGGTAATGACCACTATTGTAAGCCTTATTGACCCACATCAGCGATAAATTAGAGCACTTTTAATGATATGCCTTTGTTTCCTCAGTTAAAGATAAGCTCTATTACGTGCAAACGTTTATTTTTGTACCAGATTGTTTGGGTGTATATAAGTGAATGTGATGCAGATATGTGTGTTTGTCCTCCTCTGCATGTTGTCTACCCAGTGCTCATTTGGCTGAAACTCAAGAGTAAAGTCTGACATGATTTGTAATGTTGTGATAGGTTAACATCAGTGCCCGTGGTTTCCATGGTGTTTTATTGGCCGTTTCCTGGGTTTACAAACCTGTTTGAAACTTCAAATTATGTCTGTCAAGAATAAGAATTAACCAAGATAGCAACCGTGCATGTGGTAGACACACCACGCACACACATATTAGGCCTTTGTTAAAAAATAGTGGATTTTCACACTTATACAAACACACGCACCTCATTTCCACCTATTATTATCTACAGTAACATGTAGAGACTTTCTACGGCTTCACTAGAAACACATTCATGTTAGAGAATTTATCCTTATTCCCATTTCCAGTATGTAATGAACAAACACTTTACCCGCAGAGTAGCTTCATGAAACAGATGTTCTTTAATCCTAACCCTGTCCTAACTGCGTAGTGTTACCATCTCTAAATCTCCCTCACATTGAAAAAGAGAGGCCACTGTTCACAGATGGGAATAAAATGGATAAGCCTAGGTGTGCGTGCGTGTGTGTTGGGGAGGTTACTCGTATGGCCAGCAGTGTGAGAACTACTGTGAATTTTATACAATGGGAGTGAGCACATTTTAAACAATCCCCACTTTCTCACACTCCTTCAAAGGGCTGTTCGAAGGTATAGCTTAGTTAGAATTAGGTTTAGGTGGAAATGGAAAGGTTCCAAAAAACTAACAAATCCAGTGTAGGTGTTATAATAAATTCTCTTTTTATATACTGTGAAGGTGTAAAACAAACAGTCATGTTTGTCCATCAAGTCACCACTTCATCATTTGTAAGTAGCAGGTGCTGAATAAAGTAAAGGAGAGAAGGAGTCTATTAACAGTGTAACCTGGAATGAAACAAAAGTATGCCTCCTATGTTTGGATGCACTGATCATTTAGATCAGTTCATTACTTCAGATGTCATTAATGTTCATTCAGCATCTTTCGATTTCACACACCCACTTTCCACAGACACAATAAATGAAAGAAATGAGGCAAATGAAGAATTGGATTAAGTCTAATTAAGCACCAAATAAGTATTTAATCATGGGAAATTAACCCCCCCATCTAATTGAAATATCTTTTCAAATTAAATCACAATCATTTGGGGTGCCTCAGTGGAGTCTTTTTCACTTGTTGTCTTATTTTCTTCTCTCTTCTCTCTATGCGTTTTCTCATCATAAGATATGGATGTGTTCTTTGTTGCATATATTGTACCATTTATTGGATGGGGGCAGTTTTTTGTGTCTCCTCCTCCAGATAAAAGCTTCAGGATTGGCTTCTAGGATGAATTAGACACTGATTTAAATGATGGCACTTAAATGCATCATTATTACAAAGACACATAATTGGCAATGGAATTGTCCATTACTCCATTTCCATACTTTAACCTAATCTTGTTTTTATTTTGCTTCTACACAGACCAAGAACTGCTGGAGGACATTCTGACTGACAGCAGCTTTTACTCCACTCAGCCAATGGTAAGTGAGTTTTACTACAGAAACTGTTCAAGAGAAGTAAAGGTGTTTAATCCTTTGGTGTATGTCAACGTTATGTGACAAAGAGACAGGGCAGTTACTTTCAGTTTACTGCTCAAACAAAAGAATCAGACCTTTTGATTCTGAGAAAGGTTAGACTGGATGTTACAGTGCTATTCCTTTGTTTATTGTCTTTTTTCCTCATGCCATTTTCCTAAACTCTTTCACCCCCCAGTGCTCTGTCAATTCCTCAGTATGTGTTCTCCAGTATTTGTGCCCTGCTCTTCATACTTCACATACTCTTTGTTTTAGTGTCAGGCTTCTAATAAGTAACATCAATACTGATGCATTGCACCGATAGACTATATTCGTCAATTCACAAAGCACCTTGAGTCTTTATTTTCCCTACCCTAATCCATGACAGTCACTCCCTTTGGACTGACACTTCTAAAAGGTACTATATGACAGAATTTCCCTGGTATTGTCTTTTCTTTCATTACTTTTCTGAAATAAAAAAAAACATTTAATTAGTGAATAAATCAAAATGATGTAACAATCCACAGGGACAGTGTGTTTAGATGTAGTGTCTGACTGTATTCTGTGTCTAAGGCTACACTGCATAACCATAAAAAAAATATGACCAGCGTAGAAATGAACCTGTCTGCTGCTGTTAGACAGTAGAAGAATGCCTTGCTATAATGAAGAACATTCCTCTGAAAGAGATTGGCACGTTCTTTTGCCCTACTTTTAACTTTCCACATACAGTAAAAAGAAGATGGATAGAGTTGCTGTAGCTGCTTCTCAGATAGTTTGAATCATGATAAAATATGTAAAATGCTAGTTTGTGCAGTGCACAGAGCTGGTGGAGGAGATTGTAATTAAAGTAAGAGAAGATGAATGTGTAAACTGAAAACAGCTGTCGTGGTGTGTACAGATTATAGACAACTAATGTCTACTTCAGCACACGCATATACAGATACATTAATAGTTTGCAAAGTAGTCCTCACATAAACACACATACACCCGCACTATAGCCTCATGAAATATGACCCTGGGTGAAATGAATGGGTCTTCCTAGGTGTTGGTGGCAGGTCGTTACTCTGCATCCCAGTAGCAAGACAATAAACCCCAGACACAATGAGACAGTCTTTAGAACTCTCTCTCATCTAGTTTTACACCACTGGCATCTATAAAGTTCAACCTTGACAGAGAGAGGAGAAAGAGGTGAGTGAGAAGGATTAGGCAGGCTGGGGGGAAAAATGGCATGGAGGTACTGGAGAAAAAAATGGAAATGAAAAATGAAAGATTTATAGATAGACTTGCATACTGGACAAGCCTGAGGTGCATTTGATCACAACGGAGAGAGAAAATGAAGCCTAAACCCCATGGAGCATGGAAATGGTCTGAGTGACGATGTAATATCTGGACAGGCTAACACACTGGGTACAATGACACATTTAACATGACATAGGTCAGGTCCCATTGTAAATGAGCCATGTGAAATGTTAATTACATCCGGTGTTCAAATTTATCCAGACACGTCATTTACCTACAGTTTAACCTGTTTAATGTTAAATTTCAACTTAGTGTTGACTGACAGGTAATGACTGGTACATACAGTACCTTTTAATGCTATGTATTCCATATTCCTATGTAATGCTGTAAAACATAACTGGTAGTCTCATAATACTTAATTGAATTGAATGCTGGCCAAGTTTAGCATCGGCACTATCATTATTTTCAAACCAAGTTTATGGTCATGTAATAAAACTGAAAATTAGTCCAAATAAAGTATGACCAAGTTAATTAATGTCATAGACCTGGATCTGAAGTGACAAACACGGCTCACATGTTTACTATTTGCCACTTTCCCACCATGGGACGAGGTTGCCAGGCAATTTAGTGAGTGAGAATTTTCCCACACCCAAGGGTTTAACCTTGGTAAAGGGCAAGTGGAGCTTGAGCTAGAGAGGGAGAACGAGAGAGGCAAAGTGCAGTGCTGCAACCTCTCTCTGAAACTGACCTTTCCAGAAATTAAATTAAAAGCCTCTGGAAGGAATAATAAGCGGCTGGCTAATTCCTTAACTGCAGCATGAACCCTTGTAGTGTCCTAGCTTTTCAGCCCATTAGCCCAGTAGTGAGGATGTGGCAAGCTGTTGCTGCTGTGGAACACCATCTGCCACTAATGCTGCTGGTGGCCTCCTGTCCTCAAGGGACAGAAAGGTGGAAGGAGAGAGAGAGAGAGGCAGAGTGAGAGACAATTGTAGAGTGATAGATAAATGGCAGAAGTGGGGGCATGGTAGGTCATCTTTGAGCTAATATGTGAGTGTGTTAATTTCTACAAACTGGATAATTTAGTCTCTAAATCAGTGCAGATAATGAGTATCATTGCACTTCACCCCTCATTAAGTAACCAAAACAGAGCTATCCTCAATACACTGTTATAAAATGTCTGGTTGTGTTGTCTTGGTTTTATTCACATTAAATTTTATATACAATGGGTACGGAAAGTATTCAGACCCCCTTAAATTTTTCACTTTTTGTTATATTGCAGCCATATGCTAAAATCATTTAAGTTCATTTTTTTTCCTCATTAATGTACACACAGCACCCCATATTGACAGAAAAACACAGAATTTTTGACATTTTTGCAGATTTATTAAAAAAGAAAAACTGAAATATCACATGGTCATAAGTATTCAGACCCTTTGCTGTGACACTCATATATTTAACTTAGGTACTGTCCATTTCTTCTGATCATCCCTCAGATGGTTCTACACCTTCATTTGAGTCCAACTGTGTTTGATTATACTGATTGGATGTGATTAGGAAAGCCACACACCTGTCTATATAAGACCCTACAGCTCACAGTGCATGTCAGAGCAAATGAGAATCATGAGGTCAAAGGAACTGCCTGAAGAGCTCAGAGACAGAATTGTGGCAAGGCACAGATCTGGCCAAGGTTACAAAAAAATTTCTGCTGCACTTAAGGTTCCTAAGAGCACAGTGGCCTCCATAATCCTTAAATGGAAGACGTTTGGGACGACCAGAACCCTTCCTAGAGCTGGCCGTCCGGCCAAACTGAGCTATCAGGGGAGAAGAGCCTTGGTGAGAGAGGTACAGAAGAACCCAAAGATGACTGTGGCTGAACTCCAGAGATGCAGTCGGGAGATGGGAGAAAGTTGTAAAAAGTCAACCATCACTGCAGCCCTCCACCAGTCAGGGCTTTATGGCAGAGTGGCC